GGGTTTGGGGGGGGGCGAAAATTCCAGAAAAGTGCGTTTTTAACAGTTTCGAAGCCAAATTCTAATTCTAACGGCGTTTTTCAGGCGGAAATTACGTGAAAAATGAGCTAAAATGAACAGAAAACACCCATGGCCGAGTTTTTTGGGATTTCTAGGCCACCAAAGTAAAAATGGCTTGTTTTCGGGCATTTTTGACTCATTTTTCTGGAATTTTCTCTGCAAATGCATTGTCAATCGAAAATTTGATATTTCATTCCCAAAAAATCCAAAAAAATCAGCCAATTTGGCCTAGAAAAAGGCTGGTGGCCTAGAAATCCAAATTCGCGGAAAAAATAGGCCACTAGGGGCAAAACAGTTCATTCTAGGCCATTTTTGACTATTCTAGACGATTTTTATTGGTTTTTCAATGCAAAATCCATTAACAACAAGCCAAAATCACCGATGGCCGAGTTTTAGGGGGATTTCTAGGCCACCAAAGTCAAATTGGCTAGTTTTCGGCCATTTTTGGCCGTTTTTCTTCATTTTTTCTTGTTTTTAGGTAGTTTTAAGCACATTCTCAGCCGGAATACCCCAAAAATCAGACAAAAATAAGCAAAAAACCCTGGTGGCCGAGTTTTTTGGGATTTCTAGGCCACCAGGTTCAAATTGCCGGTTACGCTGTTTTTGGCCATTTTTGGCTCGTTTGTTTATATTCCAGGTGGTTTTGAGTGTATTTTTAACTGGAATAATCAAAAAATCAGTCGATTTGGCCTAGAAATCACCAGTGGCCGAGTTTTTTGGGATTTCTAGGCCACCAAGTTCCAATTGCTTGTTTTCAGCCGTTTTTTGGCTATTTTCGAGTTTTTAGGCGGTTTTCAGCGTATTTCCAGCCTAATTAACCTATAAATCAGAAAATTTGGGTTTCTAGGCCATCAAAAAAAATTTCTAGGCCACCAAAAACCACCATGTTTCCAGGGCCACTACGTCTATCTCGTTCGCTCCCCTCAATCAGGCTCCGCCCACTTTCAAATCGCTCAACGGGACTCGTCGACAGTGTCTACAGTAACCACTGCACGTGCCGGACCATTCGCTGAGCAATGCGATGCTCTGGAATTCCAGAAAAGCTGGAATCTGGCTGGAAAAGACTTGAAACGCACCGATTTCGATAAGGGATACGAGAAAGTGGGGCGTGTCTTGGCAGAGAGCCAACGGATCAAGTGGGCGGAGTCTTGGGCGATTTTCGGAGAGCATGATGACGTGGCACTTCTGGATCTGACCGACGACGATGGGTTGAGGATTCTGGAGAAGTTCTTGCATTCGAAGAAATTTGAAAAATCGAAAAAATCGATTTTTGAGCCGCCAAAACCGGCCAAACCCGAATTTCGACGACTCGATTTTGGAATTTTGGATTCTGGAGATTCAGAAGACGTCGGACCTTCAGAAGAGGCGCCAGAAGACGTCGACGACGTCTTCTATGACACGTTTTCGGAAATTCCGGAGAATTCTGAAGCCGACGACACCTTGGGATCCCTGACTGATCGATTCGCGGCGTTCTCCATCAACTCCCCGCAAATTCCGAAAAATCGATTTTCTGAAAAATCTGGAATTCCAGATTTTTCTGAAAATTCTGAAAATTCGGATTTCTCGGATTCTGAAGAATTTGTGACGCCTCCCACTACACCACCACCCACATTTATTGCAGATGATGAGCCGTGCAAGGTGAGCAGCAAGCCACGCCCACTTTTCTGGGGTCCCCAGGGACCACTAAAAGTGGGCGGAGCCTAGAAGTGTGGGGGCTCATTTTGAAGCTCTTAAACTGACAAATTTGATTGCAACACGTTGAGAGCTTCAAAATGAGCTGAAACCCGACTAGGCTCCGCCCACTATAAGGCTAGGAGACCCCTAAAAGTGGGCGGAGCCTATTTTTGAACATCTTAAAAATTTGTGTTTTTTTTTGGGTTCTCTTGGGTGAAAACTGGATTTTTTGGTCCATTTTTGGCGTTCGAAACGATTCTGGCTGTGTTAGACAGCTAAAAACTGCAAAATTTCAAATAGGCTCCGCCCATTTTTCCAGAAAAGAGTGGGCGGAGCCTAGGACATTTGGGTTTTCAAGGATTTTTTAAAGTTTTTAGAGTCCTAGAGAAGTAGTCAACGATTTAGAAAATGTCCGAAATATCAGAATTACGCTCCGCCCACTTTTGGGTAAACCCCTAAATGTGGGCGGAGCCTATTTTTTGGAAATTTGGAATTTTCTCTATTTTTGGATTAAACATGTTTGTTTTTGGGTTTTCTGGCTTTTTTTTCAATTTTTGGACCATATTTCAGTCATTAGAAAGCAAAAACTGCAAATTTACAACAATTCAATTAGGCTCCGCCCACTTTTTTTCCTAGAAAAGCGAGCTGGACATATGGCCTAGAAAACCATCAATTGGTGGCCTAGAAAATGAAAATTTTCAATTTTAATTAATTTTACTAGATCTCACTGGTAATGAGCTTTAAAATGAGTCTAAACACAGCTAGGCTCCGCCCACTTTAAGGGAATTTTAGGGGACCTCGAAAAGTGGGCGGAGCCTATTTTTGAAAATCTTGAAAATCCCATTTTTTGCTCTAAAAAAATGATTTTTGGCTCATTTTTCTTTTAGAGGGTATTCAGACAGATGAAAATCACAAAAAATGAAATTGAAAAATTTTAGAATTAGGCTCCGCCCCTTTTTAAGGCGAAAATGAAGATGGCCTAGAAAATCACCGGTTGGTGGCCTAGAAAATGAAATTTTTGAAATTAATTAGTTCTGTCAGATTTGGCTAGGGACGAGCTTCAAAATGAGCTCGAACACGACTAGGCTCCGCCCACTTTAAGGGGGTTTCTAGGGGACACCTGAAAGTGGGCGGAGCCTATTTTGGGAAACTTCGATTTTAGAGCATTTTTCGGGTTTTTTGAAGTGTATTGGAGTTCTAGAGAGCTAAAAATCAGTAAAATTAGAAAAAGTTCAATTAGGCTCCGCCCACTTTCACCCATAAACGGATACCCCTAAAAGTGGGCGGAGTCTATTTTGGAAAATTTCGATTTTAGTGCATTTTTTTTGGTTTTTTAGGCAAATCGAGGTCTAGAAAAATGGCTAAATGACAAAAAATTCGACCAGACACCTTTGAATTAGGCTCCGCCCACTTTTCGGGGGACCCCAGGGGCCCTTAAAAGTGGGCGGGGCCTATTTTGAAAAACGTTGATTTTGAACAATTTTAAGCGACTTTTCTCAAGTTTTTCACTGAATTTGCAATTGTAAATTTTGTAAAAATCACTGAAAATCAAAAATTCCAGAAGCTCCGCCCACTTTTTCTGAAAAATCCAAAAAAAATTTTTTTCGAAAAATTTCGAATTTCGCGGCAAAAAAGCTTCAAAAAGCGGAAATTCTAAAATTATCGATTTTTGCAGATGGACGCCGATCTATTCGAGGTGCTGTGCAAGGTGCCAGCCGAGCAGCTGGCCAAATTTCCCGAAATTCAAAAATATGTTCAAAAGCTGGGAAAATTGGAAAATCGATCGATGTGGCTGCCAATCGATTCGCCGCGACGATGCCAGATGATTCGACGGAAATATTGATTTATTGATTTTTTTTCGAATTTTCAATTTTGACCCATTTTGACCCATTTTGAGCCGATTTTCAGCAATTTTAAGCCATTTTTCTAAAATTCCATTATCTAATCACTTCTTGTACATTTTTTTGACAATTCCTTTCTTTTTCCTTTGATTTTTAATATTATTTTTTGAATAAACGTTTTTATTGGAAATTCTAGCTTTTTGAACTTTTTGAAAATCGCTGTAACTTTTTGAATTTCGATTCAAACGAAATGAGAACAATTTCATTGAATTTGTCTGTTTCTGAGCTTCAAAATGAGCCCCAACACGACTAGGCTCCGCCTACTTTGAATTTCCCCAAAGACACGCGACACACGACCACATCGCGCGCGGCAAAACGAAAGTGGGCGGAGCTTAGGCAATATGGGGCTCATTTTGAAGCACATCGAATTTTCAACGCGATCTGTATAATTTTTATGAATTTTGGACCGATATCAGATGTGGTTACGGTAGTTTGAACAACCGAGATCTACAGTAATCCAAACTTTGATCGGATCCCAGTCGAGTTTGGGCTCGTTTTCAAGCATTTCTCATTGCGATATCAGATTCAGCATGTATTCGGCTTCAAAATGAGCCCCAACACAACTAGGCTCCGCCCACTTTGAAGTTTCCGCGCCGCGTCGCGGTCGTGCGTCGCGTGTCACATGCAACTTTCAAAGTGGGCGGAGCCTAGTCGAGTTCAAGCTCATTTTGAAGCTGAGAACAAGACAAATTCATTAAAAACAGTAAAAACCAAAGAAATATTACAGGAATTTCATTAAATTATGATTTTCAAATTTTTCAAAAAAACCATATTTTTGAATTTTCATTATTTCCCATCATTTTTCAAAAGGTTTGAAAGTTTCAGTGTTTTTTGATGTCAAATTTGCATTTTACACATCGAGAGCTTCAAAATGAGCCTAAATATGACTAGGTTCCGCCCACTTTAAAAGTCCAGGGGACACGCGACGCACGACCGCAACGCGCCCAAAGGGGGCGGAGCCTAGTCGAGTTTGGGCTCATTTTGAATCTCCTGTTCCTAAATCCTCTTTTCTCAACTCTTCAGCGTGTTGCAGAAGCTGTTGGGCATTCGTTAGTTCATTTTGATCCGGATGTGGCTCATCCTGAAGGGTCTTGATGATATCTTTCAATGTCTCGATTTGATGTTCGATTTTGATGTCCTTGTAAGTGTCTCTTGCGACACGCCCCGTCTTCATAATGACATGAACAAACGGAATGAACCTTTCGGCCGCCTGAAATCAACTTTTTAACTGACAAAAGAATCTAGAATTCCTATTTTCACCATTTTTACTACATTTTTAAGGTTTTTAACCCCGATTTTTGGACTTCTCGTCCTCGAAAACCTCCAAAAAACACTTTAAAAAAGAAGTTGCCACCGGTGGGATTCGAACCCGAGACCCCTAGTTGCAAATTCTTTCGTCAAAAATCCCACTAGGCCATACAGGAATAATGATAAGACACCTTTCGAAAATCGTTCATTTTTCGAGTTTTCAGAATTTTTTGAGCATTTTTCTGAAAATCCTGTGTTGACTTACAAAAATACTCGAAACTAAATCAAATGTGGTATATATGAAATGAAAAAACACTGAACATGATAAAAAACAAAATTTTACATCTTTTCTAGTACTTGAACGTTTTTTTAAATTGCTCGAAAACTCGAAAAATGAACGATTTTTGAAAGGTGTCTTATCATGTTTGGACGGTTCAAATCCACACATTTTCCAGTTGACCTACTTTCACAGCCGGACCAAACCAATAACATTTGTGCTAGAATGTTTTTCGATTTTAAGACGAATGGCGTTTACAGTTTTTCAATACCTTTTTTCGTTCTCGAGTTATGGTCAAAAACAGGGGGGTGTCTTATCATTATTGGACGCACTGAAATTGATTTTTGGATCAAAAATTGGGTGTAAAACGGTTTTTCAAGCTAAAAGTTGCGTTAAAATGTGTTGAAATGCTTTTCTTGGGTTTCCTCGAATTTGGCAATCTAGAAATGCTTAAATTTTGAGTCGATGCATCTCAGTTCCTTTGAGAGATATCAAAAAGTGTTCAACTGATAAAATGTAGCTGATATTAAGGTAAACGTTTTGTCAGTTGACCACTTTTTGATATCTCTTACAGTAACCGAGATATATGGACTCAAAGTAGACAATAGACGTATGACTCACTTTCTCAACAACAATTCCAAGGAATCTACCGAATCCGTATCGTTTTTGGCACTTCTCGGAACGATTCAAAGCATTCCGTAGAGTGTTTAAACGATTTCTGGCGTCCGAGTCAGACAGATGGGGCATTCGAAAATATGAACAAAAACAATTCTCAGCATACTTGTAAACAGGGTTCCCTGCCGTTTCTCAATACGTATATTCTGATTGAATAAAAACTATAAAATAAAACTCGACAAGTGCTACAAAATGCCATTTGGACGAAGGTCCGGTTTACAAGAATGCTAGGACGAAAAAGAAGAAGCTTTGGAATGAGGATAGTGTCAGTGTAGGACGGCTTATAAAGTTTGATGAATGGGCGGAGTCAGCTCGGAGAGTGATGCCAGTACAAAGTGGAAAATCTGATAACATGTGATTTCATGCAAAAAATTTCATAATAATTGTCGTCTAGTGGTTTCCGGAAAAAAAGCAGAAACTACGCGATTACTGATAATGAGGCTTATCATCTTAACTCTGTCAATTGCTAAGCGTAATTGCATTTTTTACAGTGAGGAAATTCCAGCAAAATCAACATTTTTGAAAACTTCCGGTCACCAAAAATCGTTTCACTCCACGTCGACACCATTCACAATATTGTTGCTCAAGAATCCCCAACATTCTGAAAAAAAAACGAAAATCTAAAAATCTGACAGTCTAGATATCTGAAATTGTAAAAAATTGGAATTCCAATATTGTGGAAATTTGAAACTTGAAAAACTCGAAAATCTGATTAGCTGGAACTTTGAAAAATCTGAATTTCTGAAAAAAAACGAAAATCTAAAAATTTGAAATTCTGAATTTCTGAAAGTTTTCGAAAATTCAACATTCTCAAAATCTGGAATGCCTGAGATTCTGAAACTGAGAAATTTTGAAATTCTGGAATCCCAAATTCCAAAATTCCGAAATTTCGCCTGAAAATCTAAAAGTCTAAAAATTCGGAAATCTGAAACTCCAAAAACCCTATATTCAAAAAAATCTGAAATTTCCGATTTTCTGAATTTCTGAATTTCTGAATTTCTGAATTTCTAAATTTCTGAATTTCTGAATTTCTGAATTTCCGAATTTTTGAATTTCTGAATTTCTGAATTTCTGAATTTCTGAATTTCCGAATTTCTGAATTTCTGAATTTCTGAATTTCTGAATTTCCGATTTTCTGAATTTCTGAATTTCTGAATTTCTGAATTTCTAAATTTCTGAATTTCTGAATTTCTGAATTTCTGAATTTCTGAATTTCCGAATTTCTGAATTTCTGAATTTTTGAATTTCTGAATTTCTGAATTTCTGAATTTTTGAATTTCTGAATTTCTAAATTTCTGAATTTCCGAATTTCTGAATTTCTGAATTTTTGAATTTCTGAATTTCTGAATTTCTGAATTTCTGAATTTCTGAATTTCCGATTTTCTGAATTTCTGAATTTCTGAATTTCTAAATTTCTAAGTTTCTGAATTTCTGAATTTCGGAACTTCTGAATTTCTGAATTTCGGAACTTCTGAATTTCTGAATTTCTGATTTTCTGAATTTCCGAATTATTCAAAATTTTGAATTTTAGAATTTCTGAAAAAGTGAACGCCCAAAAATCTGAGATTCTGAAATTCCAAAAATCAGAAAATCTGAAATTCGAAAAACATTATTTTATAAAACAATTTATTAAAAAGTGTCATAAATATTAAAAATTAAAGCACATGGAACAAAAAAAAACAAATTTTCGCAAGAAAAAAAATTCACAACCAAAAATTTCAAAAAATTTCAAAAAATTTCGAAAAATTTTTTTTTTCAAAATTTCAGAAAGTTTTCGAAAATTAACAGAAAATTGAAAGAATAGACTGAAAACCCGTAAAATCAATAATAGAGAAATGGCCGATGGATGGATGGTTTTTTTGTGGAGTTGAGAGGAACGAAAAGGGGGCGGGGCTTCGATTTTGGGCGGGAAATTCAAAAATTATTCAAATAACTGCCTATACACGTAATATTCAAGAAGACAAAAGTGGGCGGGGTTTGTGGGGAAAAGACATAATCGGGAAAAATTGGAAAAAAATTTTAAAAATTTTAAAATTTTAAAAAATTCAGAGACGATCCCTAGGCATCAGTCGACTATTCGAATTGTATCCAAGGCCCAGCGTAGATGATTCGTAGTCTGTCGCCCGATAGTAGTCCGATTCCATCAGTGCCAAGAGATCCTGAAAAAAAAAGTATTTCAAAATGTTTTTTTTTCTGAAATTCCAGCAAACTTTGATTATTTCCAACTTTCGATTTGTACTCAGCTCATTCTGAGCTTCAAAATGAGCCCCATATTGTCTAGGCTCTGCTCACTTTGACTTTTCAGGCGCGTCGCGGTCCTTGCGTCGCGTGTCTAGGTCAAAATTCAAAGTGGGCGGAGTCTAGGCAATATGGAGCTCATTTTGAAGCTCTCAATAAGTTAAATGCAAATTTGGCATGAAAAAAACCTAAAAACTCGAAAAATGATGAGAAATATCCGAAATTCCAAATTGTTTTTTTTTTTGAAAATTTTGAAAATCAGGATTTTTGAAATTGCTGTGATGTTTCCTTGGTTTTTGTAGTTTTTATTGAATTTGACTTGTCCTCAGCTTCAAAACAAGCCCAAACTCGACTAGGCTCCTCCCATTTCGAAATTTCACCTTGACACGCGACGCACAGCCGCGACGCGCCTGAAGAATGAAAGTGGGCGGAACCTGGTCGTGATTGGGCTCATTTTGAAGCTCTTTTCAAGCTAGATCAAATGATGCTATTTTCAAATCTATATCATTCCTAGAAATTCGGCATTTTTGACCACAAAAATGGATTTCTAGGCCACCGAGAGCCAAAAATGGGTTTTTGCCTCTATTTCGGCTAATTTTTGGTCGATTTTGATGATCTTAGGGTCAAAAATTCTGGAATTTTCGATAGATTACAGCCAATTGACTTACTTGTAACCTTCCGGGCAACCGACTAGCCTGTGCGTGCTCATTGGCTTCCAGGGCATCAATAATGCTCTCCTTATACTGGTCCAAATATTTATACAGCTCGTTGAGCGCCGAAAACACATGAAACTCTCCATTGTGTTGCCGGGATTCAGCCGATAGATTTGCTCCCATCGTCGCGTCGTCGATTCGTGGAGCCATTGAGATTTCCGTATAGTAGGAATCCACCAAATCCCGATATTGATACATATCTTTGGCGAATAGCAGCTTTGACGATGGAGAATCCTTCGTTAGCTGATGATCTTGTGTCGAACAAGCGTCCATCAGCGTCTGAGCAACCACAGAAAGACATCCCTCGATTTTAGTGGGCTTTTGAATGTCGAACAGGAAGTGACTGTAAGAAAAGTTCAATTTGAACATTTAACCTCTTCAAACTTTTTCAATTCTCAAAATTGTTGATTTTCACTAGTTTAGTATTATTGGAAATTTTAAGAGCTTCAAAATGAGCCCAAACACGCCCAGGCTCCGCACACTTTCGTTTTTCCGACGCCTTGCGGTCGTGCGGCGCGTGTCTCATGGAAAATTCAATATGGGCGGAGCCTAGTCGTGTTTGAGCTCATTTAGAAGTGCAATACGTATCAAATCTAAATTCGAAAGTTTCTTAGCTTTAAAATGAGCCCAATTTCGCCTAGGCTCCGCCCATTTCGAGATTAGGCTCCGCCCACTTTAAGTCGTCCAGGCTACCTCAAAGTGGGCGGGAAAATTTCGAGGAAAACATATTTTCCACCAGGCTTCTAATTTTTGTAATTTGATGCCAAATTTGTATTGATTACGCCGAGAGCTTCAAAATAAGCCCCAACACGACTAGGCCCCGCCTACTTTGAAATTTGACCTAGCGTACGCGACGCACGACCGCGACGCGCGTGAAAATTCAAAGTGCACGGAGCCTAGTCGTGTTTAGGCTCATTTTGAAGCGCAGAACGCGCTGAGTATGAATCTAATGCGCAAGTTGAGAAATTCTCAGATTTTGACCCCATTTCCCCTTAAAAAGACTACTCACGGATTCTTAATGAGATTAACCCAAAACCTCAGCGGCAATGCGTTACTCTTCCACGCGTGAACAACTTCCGGGTCTATGATACCGTGTTCTCTGGCTTGTTCATCCATAAAGTCAAACATATACTTGATACACGGGGGCACATTTGCCGCCGAAAAGATATTTTCCAGTAGGGAAGTGATAAATTTGGCTAGTGTTCCTTTCATCATGAGCAATCTCGTCAAATAGATTTCCGTCACCATTTTCTCTTGAGAATCTGTTGGTCCGTGTTCTGTGGGCTTCACCAGGTGATATAGTTTGTATCCGTTATCAGTATCATTTGACGAGGAGGCGTGGTCGGCAGTCACTGATGGTGGGGCTCCGCCCCATGGTTTTGGTGATCCCACACCTGCTGTCTTCATTGATAGTGATGATTTGTCCGAGAGAATGCTCTGCAAAAGTTTTGGAATTAATTTTGAAAAATGTTAATTTTTTCAATTTCAATTTTTCACAAAAATATCTTCACGAATCTTAGTATTTTGATTTCAAATTCTTCTTCAGCTCATTTTGCCCTTCAAAATGAGCCCAAACACGCCTAGGCTCTGTCCACTTTGAGCTTTCGGCAGCGTCGCGGTCGTGCGTCGCGTGTCACATGGGAAACTTCAAAATGGGCGGAGCCTAGGCAATATGGGGCTCGTTTTGAAGTTTCTGTTGTGCTGAGTAGCTAGGAGAGGTAAAATACAGAAGAAAATAGTCAAAGTAGCGCGAAAAATTTGAAACTCAGATTTTGGAATTTTTTTCAAAAAATAATTTTTTGAAAAATAACTTTCTGGAATCAAATTTAGCTGTTCTAAGCGGTATAGTTATCTCTAGCTTATTTTGCGCTTCAAAATGAGCCCAAACACGCCTAGGCTCCGCCCACTTCGAAATTTCCTCCTAAACACGCGACGCATGACCGCGACGCGGCGGAAATTCCAAAATGGGCGGAACCGCGGCCTGGTTGGGCTCATTTTAAAGCCCTTCTCACGCTGATTCCGAATTTCACATGAAAAATTCAAATTCTGTGACACATGACCTAGTAAAATGGATTTCTAGGCCATGACCAGCCGAAAAAGCTTTTGAGCCTATTTCAGCTCATTTTTGGTCGATTTTAATGATTTTTGGGTCAAAATTTCTGGAATTTTTTTCTAATTTAGTTAATTTTAGATAGAATCAAAATAAAAATAACCGTGGTCTTGTTGGAGCACGTTGAAAAATTCACCAGATTATACAGAGAGTTGCTTTTCGAGGTCAGTGTGAGGATGGCGTTATTTGGGACATTGTAGTGGGCCAGCGTGTTTAGGCGTTTCCAATTTCCACCTTCGATTCGAGACGACGAGTCAATGTCCTGAAAATTTGCAGTTTTGAGTTTTGCGGAAAAATTTGAAGTTTCAAAAAAAATTTCAAAAAAAATTTTTTTGTTGATATTTTGATATTTATTTTTTACAGCTTCAGGTTTGAAAATTTGGAATTTTAAGTTTTGAATTCATTCTTAACACTCTTTGCGTTTCAAAATGAGCCCAAACACGCCTAGGCTCCGCCCACTTTCATTTTTCAAGCGCGTCGCGGTCGTGCGTCGCGTGTTAAGGGGAAAACTCAACGTGGGCGGAGCCTTGCCGTGTTTGGGCTCATTTTGAAATGCAAAACGTATAAAATCTAAATTTGAAAGTTTCTTCGCTTTAAAATGAGCCCAATTTCGCCTAGGCTCCGCCCATTTCGAGATTAGGCTCCGCCCACTTTAAGTGGTCCAGGCTGCCTCAAAGTGGGCTGAGCCTAGTTGTGTTTGTGCTCATTTTGAAGCGGAAAACGAGCTAAATTCAAATGTGATCTAAAAATTAAGCAAAAGTAGCTAGAATTTCGAAAAAAAAAAAATTAAAAACTATTTTTTTTGAAAAATTTTTTCCCCAAAAATTCATAACTCCAAAATTGATATTTTTCTGTCAATTTTTAAACTTTCTAGGTCAAAATTTTGAGGCAAATTCAGCTCTCAATTTTTCAGGCTCACCTGAAGTGTCATTTTGCCGTTCAAGCCGGTTTTCCACTCCAACTCCATTTCCGATGGTCCGGGTCGATCCGCGAATCGATATCCACGATATTTGGAATCCAGACATTTCTCCTTGACTTGTGTTATCGTATCACAATCCAGCACTCGCACGGGAATGTCCTGCTGATAGACTGAATCAGTGGAATTCACAAAAACCGTCAGCTCCTTGTATTCAAAAGTGGCACGGAGCAATTTCTCCTCGGACAACGAGTATCTGGCTTCAAGGGTCAACGCATCCTGTGGTCCCTTCTCCATTTGTTGTTTGATTCCCCAGAATAGTTCGTACAGCTTTTTGCCAGCGTCGAATGTCTGAAAATTCATGTTGTTAGGGGTTCTGAAAATCTATTTGGGCTTTTAAGGTCTCAGATTTGAGTTATAGAAGTTCATAGTTTTAGTATAGTTTTTTATCTTGTTAAGCGCTTCAAAATGAGCCCAAACACGACTAGGCACCGCCCATTTTGACTTTTGAGGCGCGTCGCGGTCGTGCGTCGCGTGTCTAGGGGAAAATTTCAAAATAGTCGGAGCTTACTCGTGTTTGGGCGCATTTTGAAGCTGATAATAAGCTCTAAACGACAAAAAGTCTCAAAGTTCAAAATTCTGACTAGTTTTGAAGGTTTCGGGCCGAGAAGCGAAATTAGTTTTTGTAAAATTGAATTTTCTCAAATTTTTTAAATAATTTTTTCAAAATTTCATATTTTTGTTGTTTATCTTGCTCAGCTCGTCAAGAGCTTCAAAATGAGCCTAAACACGCTTAGGCTCCGCCCATCTTGAAATTTCACCTAGGCACGCGACGCACGACCGCGACGCGCCTGAAAAATCAAAAAGGGCGAAGCCTAGTCATGTTTGGGCTCATTTTAAAGCACAAACAGTAACAAATTCAAAATTGAGACTTTTAAAGTTTCGAAATGAGCTCGATATTGCCTTGGCTCCGCCCACTTTAAGGTATCCGGGCTGCCTTAAACTGAACGGAGCTTAGTCGTGTTGGGGCTTATTTAAAGCTATAAACGTTCCAAAAACAAATCTAGCATCAAAAATGACTCAAAATGAGCCCAAGAACAGCTAGGCCCCGCCCACTACAACTAGTTCCCCAGAAAGTGGGCGGAGCCATCCCCAGAAAGTGGGCGGAGCTATGCTGAAGCTTTTAATGGGCTGAAAAAGGTGCTGATATTATTTTTCTGTCATTTTGACTCACTTTCAAATGATCATGCAACAAAAAAGTGAACCACGCGGCCAGCATCCGCTCGGCAATACTTTCGCTCCTTCGAAACAAAATTTTCGGTTGGAACTTCTTCTCGACAGTCTTCTCAATCAACTCTCTAAGCAGCTGCTTCAGCATTTCGGTACAGTAACCCATTTTCTCCTGTAGGACGACCATCAGAAGACTTCCCACGTAGACACGGTCTTTTCCGACGAAATACTTGTTGGATTCCATGGTACGGACCATTGTCAGCAGGAAGGTCTTGTTCATGAGCAGCTTGTGGAATTCTCGAAGTCCCGCTTCGATTGCCGGAAAAATATATTTTGAAAAAATGTGAAAAATTTTTTTCGAAAAATTTATCTTTGAAATTCCTAACTCCAAACTAAAAATTGCTAATTTTTGTTGTCAGATTCTTTTTCAGCATGCATTGCGCTTCAAAATGAGCCCAAACACGACTGGGCTCCGCTCACTTTGATTTTTCGTGAGCGTCGCGGTCGTGCGTCGCGTGTCTAGGTGAACTTTCAAAATGGGCGGGGCCTAGCTGTGTTTGGGCTCATTTTGAAGCGCAGAACGTGCTGAAAATGAAAAAAACATTTCAAAAATACAAATTTCCGAGCGAAAAAATTATATTTTGAAGATTTTTAAAAAATCGAAAATTTAATTACTTTCCATTATGACCCAAAATAGGTCAGAATATCAATTTTAAGAGTTCCCCATTATTTTCAGCTTTTTGCCAGCTTCAAAATGAGCCTAAACACGACTAGGCTCCGCCCATTTCAAAATTTCACCTAGACACGCGACGCAAGACCGCGACGCGGCTGAAAACTCAAAGTGGGCGGAGCCTAGTCGTGTTTGGGCTCATTTTAAAGCGCAGAACGTGTGAAACACGAAAATCATAAATAGAACTTCAAAAAGTCAGATTTCGGAGCCGAAATATAAATTTGAAAATTGTGAAAAAAAAGTTTCGAAAAAAAATTTTTTTTTCAACTCACCTCAGCCTTATGTGTGTCCACTTCCAGATTTTTGAGCACCGGATGATTTTTACCACCATTCGGGAATAGGACACGTGCACAGTAGTCCTTGTACTCCAAAAATGGGGCGGTCGGGGTGCCCAACGGTAGATCAGCAGTGTATTGATTCAGCGATGTTTGTAGTTCGGCGAATGCTTCTTTACACTCGGTGGCAACCTGAGAATTGAGAAAATTGAGAAAATTTGGCTGAAATTCGCAAAATTCCAAAAAAAAAATTTTTTTTTCCAAAATTTTTAAAATTCCAAATTTTTTTTTGCAATTTTTTAAGTTCAGAATCCAAAGTTCGGTACTTTAGATGTTAAAATCTCTTTCAACTTGCTAAGAGCTTCGAAATAAGCCTAAACACGCCTAGGCTCCGCACACTTTCATTTTTCAGGCGCGTCGCGGTCGTGCGTCACGTGTCACATGGAATACTCAAAGTGGGCGGAGCCTAGTCGTGTTTGGGCTTATTTTATAGCTCTCAACATTTCCAATCAAGCTAAGCTATTGAGAGAAGGGAATTTTTTGATTTTTGTTCTAAAAATTCCATTCTTACTTTCATCTCAATGGTATCCATTTGCGTTTTCAAGTACTTCATCTGCCTCTGATGCGTATTCGATTTCCGGCGATAGAGCACAATTAGGCAGATAATTAGCCCAATCATTGCAATGATAAAAATCAATATCGCCAACAGAAGAGAGGATGAGAGTCCCGGCGAGTCGTAAGACACCTCGCCCACTGAGAAGCTCGCATTTCCTACAGTAACCACAATCTCTGGGTTCAGCTTTCCGGCTCCTTGGGGTTTTTTGACTGGCGGTTGACATGTGAGGATCTTATTAGCCAGAGCTGTCAGGGGACACGATTCTCCGCCCACTTTTACATCGATATCCCTCTCGGAAGCCGCCAAATTCAAATTATTCCCATTTAGCGTCAAAAAATCGTCTCCTGGACGCACAAAACGGGGCTCGTTGAGCATTTCAAACGATGGAGGGGGCATAATCTTGATCTTCGATCTATACAACTCGGCTCCATCGAAATCAAACGCGTAATCTGTGATCTTCTCTACTTGAGTGTCTCTAGCGGCTCCGGGTACTGTAGGTGTGGCACATTTCATCAATTGATCATCGATAATTGAGCATAGGGGGCCGTATGACTTGTCGTTTCTGGAAAAATCGATTATACTCAAAAATGGCCTAAAAACGGGCCTAAAATATTTGAAAAATAATAGTTTTGAGTTTTTTTGAAATTTTGAATATAGCTCCTTTCAAAAAAGTCGGGTTACTTTGAAATGATTGTCATTCTATTTAACTTAAAGAGAGCTTCAAAATAAGCTTAAACACTAGGCTCCGCCCATTTTGAATTTTCGAGGACGCACGCGACGCACGACCGCGACGCGGCTGGAAAACTCAAAGTGGGCGGGGCCTAGGCGTGTTTGGGCTCATTTTGAAGCCCGAATCAGACTGAATCTATTGAAAACTGTCAAAAAAGAAAAGTTACAGAAATTCCGAAAAAATCAGATTTTCAAAATTTTCGAAAAAATGTTTTTTTTTGGATTTTTCTGTATTTCCCATAATTCTCCAAATTTTTCAATTTAAGAGTCGAAATTGCATTCAACATTTTGTGAGTTACAATAAGCAAAATCCATCAAAAACATTCAGAAACTATGACAAATTACAGAAACTCCGAAAAAATCGGACTTTCAAAATTTTCAAAATTTTTTTTCGAAATTCTATATTTTCTATAATTTTCCTAAAATTTTGTTTTTTGCGAATGAATTCCAGTTTTACGTATTGAGAGCTTCAAAATGAGCCCCATATTGCCTTGACTCCGCACGCTTTGAAATTTGACCTAGGCGCACGCGACGCACGACCGCGACGCGCCTGAAAACTCAAAATGGGCGGAGCCTAGTCGAGTTTAGGCCCATTTTGAAGCTCAGAACGTGTAAAAAATGAATTTGACATCAAAAATCGAGAATTTTGAATTTCACCTACCCCAATCCAACAAACACCATTCGTGGCCGCTGAAGCAGCGTGAATCCTTGACCGTACACATCTACAGTAATCCCACCGGATGGTATTGTTTTGTTGGGCGCAATCGATTGGACAGATGGATCGGAGCTGAAATTTCAGTCCATTTTTGGTCATTTTCCCTTTTGAAAACTCACGTAAACTCGAAATAAATTGCAATTGGCAAATTCTGGAGTTGTCCATCGAAGGCAATATGCAAGGGGAACTGTCCACCCTCTTCCGATGGTCCCATCCGACATTTCAGCCATTCCGACGTCCTCTCCAACACTTTACACTCAATTTGCCCAAATTTTACCATAATCTCGGATCCTGTATCCAGGTCAATTCCAGTCAAAACGACGTCTGTCCCGCCGGACCGTGGTCCCTTCACTGGTTTCATTGATGAGACGACTGGCTCGACGTACGAAAACTTTTCAGATGTGACCGCAAAGAATTTCAGTGAATCGTGGCGAAGAGTCACCTAGAAATGGGAAAAACTCGAATTTTTGGATTTTATAAATCTAAAATCTAAATTTCCAGATCCTAAACTTCATAATAAATATGTTTAAGCACCAAATCCATGCTCAGTAGGATCTTAGTTTCAAAATGAGCCCCATATTGCCCAGACTCCGCCCACTTTGATTTTTCAGACGCGTCGCGGTTGTGCGTCGCGTGTCTGGCTGAAATTTCGAAGTGGGCGGAGCTTAGGCAATATGAGGCTCATTTTGAAGCTCATTGAATTTCAACGCGATCGGTATAATTTTTATGAATTTTGGACCGATATCAGCGGGGTTACGGTAGTTTGAACATCCGAGATCCACAGTAATCCAAACTTTGATCGGATCCCAGTCGATTTTGGGCTCGTTTTCAAGCATTTCTCATTGTGATTTCAGATTCAGCACGAATTTGACTTCAAAACGAGCCTAAACAAGACTAGGCTACGCCCACTTTCATTTTTCAGACGCGTCGCGGTCGGGCCTCACGTGCCTGGGGTGAAATTTGAAAATGGGTGGAACTTAGTCATGTTTGGGCTCATTTTGAAGCTCTTGATGTGCTTGAAGCGAATATGACATCACAACACAAAAAAAAGAAAATAATATTGGGAAATGTAGAAAATTCCAAAATTATTTTTTGAAATTTTGAAAATCTAAAATTTCAGATTTAAAATGTTCAAATTTTGGTGTTTTAGCAATTAGAATCTTATTCAGGGCATACTTCGCTTCAAAATGGGCCTAAACACGCCTAGGCTCCGCACATTTTGAAAATTCAGCTAAACACGCGACGCACGACCGCGACGCGCCTCGAAAATCAAAATGGGCGGTGCCTAGTGGTGTTTGGGCTTATTTTGAAGCTAGGAATGCGCTGAGTATGAGTCTTATGCTCGAATTCAAAAACACTTTGTAAATTAATGGGAAATCTAGAATTTGCGAAAAAAAAAACTTTGTTGAAAATTTCGAAAATCTAAACTTTCAGATTCAAAATTTAAAAATTTTTGAATTTTACCATTAGATTTTTTTCAGTGTGCTCTTAGCTTCAAAATGAGCCCCAACACAACTAGGCTCCGCCCATTTTGATTTTCCAGGCGCGTCGCGGTCGTGCGTCGCGTGTTCAACAGGAAGTATCAAAATGGACGGAGAATAGTCGAGTTTGGGCTAATTTCAAAGCTCTCAATGCAATAAATGCGAATTTGATATAAAAAAGTTCAGAAAATTTCGAAAAAATGGGAAATATCGAAAATTCGAAAAAACTTCTTTTTTTGAAAACTTCGAAAGCTAAAATTTCAGACTCATCGTTTCGAAATGGTTCATTTTCAACATCGGATTCATACTCAGGACCCTCTCCGCTTCAAAATGAGCCTAAACACGATTAGGCTCCGCCCATTTTGAAAATTCAGCTAGACACGCGACGCACGACCGCGACGCATCCGAAAAATCAAAGTGAACGGATCGTAGTCGTGTTTGGGCTCATTTTGAAGCTCTCTTCAGAGCAAGTAGAATGATGATGTCCCCAATTAATTTGAAAGGATCTGACCTCAAAAATTAGAGAAAAAGTGATCTTACCGCCACAACACCTCTCTCATTGCTGCCCTTGATCGTCGACTTTCCGGTTAAGCACACAATTTTCGATGATGGCACGTATTCAACAACTTCACAAGGAACATTTGCAATCTGTACCGCTTTCTCAACATCTGCCACGTGGCGACCCAAATTAATTCCAGTTATTGTGACTCGAGTGCCTCCGAAAATCGACCCTTTTCGTGGTTTAAAGTCCTCAATTTGGGGATTCGGACACAGTTGACTGGAATTCAACCAATTTTCAGCCAAATTTCGATTCGGACACTGATGGGGACGTGTGCACTTGTCCAGATGGCTACACCATCCACAATCATATTTCTCGGAATCCAGTGTCAGGCATTTTCCACAGTTTGGCGCCAAATTTTCGCAAGAATAAACGTCAATCGATAGCTGATCGACATTGTCCAAAAATCGATTTATCGATTTTTTGACCTGTGGTGCTCCGAGAGCCGTCCAAATGACATTGAAGCCGTAAGGGGTGGAGCCAGAGCCCAGAAGAGATGTGCCATATGGTTCGAATAGCATTTCGTCACACCTGGAAAACAATTTTGATTGAAAGTTGTGGAAAAAATTCACATTTTAAAATTGAAATTGAAAAAAAAAATTTGTGCAATTTTTTTTTTTTCAAAAAAAATCTAAACTCGGAATTTCGACAAAAACATTCAAAATTTCATTCTCTACCTGTGAGATTCTTTTTCAGCAGGCTGTGCGCTTCAAAATGAACCCCAACACGACTAGTCTCCGCCCACTTTGAGTTTTGAGACGCGTCGCGGTCGGCGCGTCGCGTGCGCACGGGGAAGTTTGAAATGGGCGGAGCCTAGTCGAGTTTGGGCTCATTCTGAAGCTAAGAACAAACAAAATTCATCAAAAATGGTTTCAAACAGAAAAAAGTTACAGGAATTTTGGAAAATTCAGATTTTCAAAAATACTTTGAATAAATTACTTTGTAAATACTTTGTATAATTGTACAAAATTTCGCTCTTTTTTGGCTGAAAATCTGAAATTTTCTGAAGGTTGATGTATTTTTCTTGTTTAGCTCATTAAGAGCTTCAAAATGAGCCCAAACACGACTAGGCTCCGCCCACTTTGAAATTTCCCCACCAGACACGCGACGCACGACCGCGACGCGTCCAAAAAATCAAAGTGCGCGGAGTATAGTAGTGACTGGGTTCATTTCAAAGCTCTTGATGAGCTAAAAGCTCTGGAATCATTCAAAAAACGAGAAATAATCTCAAAAAAGGACTAGGCCACGCCCACTTCCTACTAGTGGGCGGAGCTTAAACGTGGGCGGAGAAACCTAACCAAATTTGGGCTCCTTTTAAAGGATTTTTTGCACGAAATTCGAATTTTGCGTCTCAAATTCAAAATTTTCGACTTACGTTATCGTATCTTCCGACGTTCGCATCGCAATTTTCTCATGGGTTACTGTACCATATCGGAATTCACACTTGAAATCGCCCATAAACGACGGGTCCACATTTTCGACCTGCAAAAAATGTAGTTTATTGTTGAAAGTGTAGTTTGTAGTCTAGTTAGGATTACTGTAAAATTGCAAATTTACGAAAGTTTGACTAGAATTCGGCTAAAATCGGTCAAAAAAGCCCATTTATGGTAATTTTTTCTCCAATTTTTTTTGTAGTTTGTAGTCAACTTATAGTCTTTGTAGTCTACTGTCTTACTGTACCTTCACACTAATATTCCTTCGTTCTCCCGTCGCCACCGACATTTTCGACACGGGCGCTACGATATGGGGACACTTGCTGGGTCCTTTTCGAATCGAGCTTCCGTCACGCTGGAAAATTTATAGTTTGTAGTTTTTGTAGTTTTTGTAGTCTTTGTAGCTAAACTCACATTAAGACCATTAACAATGTGTTGTTTTCGACACTTGTCTTCGGTTAGTTTCCCGGCAACACACTCATTCGATTCCAGACACCAATCACATGGAAATTGGCTCGCCGAGCACGTCGAGCAACTCGTGTATCGATTACAATCGTAGAATGAAAAATTTGTGGTGGCCAGTGGGAGTTTGGAACCTGGAAATTTTGAATTTTAGAGCCAAAAATTAATTTAAAAAAAAGGTCAAACTTGGTTAGGCTCCACCCATTTTTCCAGGATTACTGTAGTAGTTTTAGGTTTATGTATTTTTTATAGTCAAATTTGAATTTAACTCGCTAAGTGCTTCAAAATGAGCCTAAACACGCCTAGGTTCCGTTCATTTTGAATTTCCCATAGACACGCGACGCACGACCGCGACGCGCTCGAAATTTCAATGTGGGCGAAGCCTAGTCGTGTTTGGGCTCATTTTGAAGCACACAATTCACGAAATACGTTAAAACCGTTAAAAAAGTAGCAAAATTAGGAAAATTTCGAGAAATTCAGATATTCAAAATTTTCAAAAAAAAAATTTTTTTTTGAATTTATAACTTTTGCATGATTCTCCAATTTTTTTGTATTTTTCAATGTCAAATTCACGTTTACCACATCGAGACCTTCAAAATGAGCCCAAATTCGCCTAGGCTCCGCCTATTTTGAAACTTCCTCCTAGACACGCGACGCACGGCCGCGACGCGCCTGAAAAATGAAAGTGGGCGGAGCCTAGTCGTGTTTGGGCTCATTTTGAAGCTCTCAACGTGTGAAATGCGAATTTGGCCTCTAAAATAAACGTAGTTCGGTTTCGGAACAAAAAATTTGAGAAATAAAGTTTCAGGTTTCGATACTTTGCTTAAAATGGACCTTTTTCGGTTTATTTCAAAAGGAAATTTCCCATTTTTTGAGATTTTTAAGCTACAGTAATCCTTACCATCCGATACCACAACCAATTTCGCTGCTAAGTGATATTCATTCGTCGCTATTCGTGGTAGACGATTCATAGGGGGCGTGGCACATTTCAGGGATCCATCAAACGGCATCGGATCGGAAACCACTGAATCTCCTGTTGGAAATTGGAATAGACACTGCATTCGACGTCCTTTTGGTGCTTGAAGATTCTCAATAGTCACATTTAAGTAGTCCGCAGTGTTGATTTGTATCTGATCCGGTTTCACTGATCGAATTCTGCAAAAATTGAGACTACAGTAATCCGAAAAATTATGACTACAAAACAAGTCGAATTCGACACTTTGAGAGCTTCAAAATGAGCTCAAACACGACTAGGCTCCGCCCATTTTGAAACTTCCTCCTAGACACGCGACGCACGACCGCGACGCGCCTGAAAACTCAACGTGGGCGAAGCCAAGGCGTGTTTGGGCTCATTTTAAAGCTCTCGTTAAGCTGAGTAACAATATAATGTAAAAATTATTGAAAAATGGGATCTGGAAACGAAAAAATGGAAAAATGTGAAAAATTTCGGATTCGGATGTAAATTTACCATGCTCGGCCTATTCCGGGTCAAAACAAGGCGAATTTGGATGTTTCAGGGGTGAAATTTAGCGGAAAATTCAAATCCATACTGAAAAATCTTACCTCGGGCACTTGGAGTTCTGAAAATCAAGCCATCCTCGGGAGGTGTGTGGCACTTCTCTTTCACACGATTCTTCTTGCGTACAATGATTATTCGAGACACACCACCCACAAAATGGGTCTCGAGACGAAAGACACGTGTCGCATTGACTGGAAAGGGTCTCACAGCGAGATGTTGGCATTTTGATCACTTTCGACGGCGTCAAAATGTAAATGTGCTTTCCGTCGCCAGAGAATTCCATATCCGCCAGAATTGGCTCGTTATCAGTGAGCAGCTCGGTTGCGTACCTCTCGGCGGATCTTTTCGACTCGATGAGGAGCTGAAATTACTTTAAATTTGAACAAAAGGCTGGAAAAACCAAAAATTAAAAAACATTTTTTTGGAAAATGCAAATTTTCTGAAATTCCAAACTCGAATTTTTGGGCTGAAACTTGAAATTTTCTGATTTTTGATTTCAAAACCTTATTTACCACGCTGAGAGCTTCAAAATGAGCCCAAACACGGCTAGGCTCCGCACACTTTTGTTTTTCCGGTGCGTCACGGTCGTGCGTCGCGTGTGCAGGCCAAAATTTAAAATTGGGCGGAGCCTAGTCGTGTTTGGGCTCATTTTGAAGCCCATAACTTGCTGAGAATGAATTTGATGTTCAATATCAGAAATTTTGAACATAAATTTTTGACTTCAAAAGTTCAAATAAAATCCGAAATCTAAAAAATTATTTTTAGCTCAAGATCGCTTAATTTATGTCAAAATTGCTCACCTTATGTAATTTGCCGCCTTGAGTTCCTACAAAAGCTACCGTACTCGATCGGGTTGTATTGATAGCGATTGAGGTGAGCAATTGGGCAGAGTCATCAGTTACATACGTTGCTGACGTGGCAATCGGAGTGTCGCCGCCTGAAAGAAAGAAAATATTTCTGAAAATCATTACTGGAATCATGCTTAGCTTGACGAGAGCTTCAAAATAAGCCCCAACACGACTAGGCTCCGCCCACTTTGAAATTTCCCTTTAGACACGCGACGCACAACCGCGACGCGCCCGAAAATCCAAAATGAGCGGAGCCTAGCCGTGTTTAGGCTCATTTTGAAGCTCTTGAAGAGTGGAATTCATTGAAAACGTTCAGAGTTCAAAAAAAAGCTTTTGGAAATCGAGAAAATCCAAAAAATCAAAATTCGAAATAAAAGTTTTCGAACATTCCAAGTTTTCTTGGCTCAAAATCATCCAATTTTGACCATTCTTGGACCATTTCTACTCAAATTTTTTCTTTTTTCTCATTAAATGACTTACCGATTTTCGAGTTCACATCCTTTCCACACTTGATACCTTCCCATGGAAGTGTCGTAAATCGACAATCGTCATTCGAGGAGAACCATGGAAGATTCTTTTTGAGTCCAGAAGTTCCCTTATAGCATTTCATGATATTCTGTTTGAATGCCAACTCGACTTCCTTCATCGTGAATATACAAATCGCTGATTTGCCGGTCGCATCCGCTGATCTATACGAATTCTTGTCTCCTTCCCAGAATATTCCATAGAGGACCGGATCGCTGACACTGAAATTCCATTTTAATTTGAGATTGCTAAAAATGAGCAATTTGAGTTTTTTATCTGAAAAAATAGCCAAAAATACGCCTAAATAGACCAACTGTTAAAAATTTTAAAATTTAAATTTCAAAAGATTAAATTTTGGAACTAAATCCTGGAAATTTTTGGAAGGTAACAATAGATTCATGCCCAGCTCAACGAGAGCTTCAAAATGAGCC